TATTATTAGTATTTTGACAATAATTTTGTTGCCACCAAATTTCAAGCTACATTTCTAGCCCCTTTTCCAACACAATAGGCTCTCTATTATTCGATGCTTGCTCATCTATCCAGTTTAGATGACTATAAGGTCAGAGCCCCCCTCCCCTCTTGTCTCCACGGTGGCATCAGAGAGACAGTCAACTCTGCCACTCTCTGCTGGCCTAAAGAAATCACTTTATAAAGTATCCCAAAGTCACACCTAGAATGGGATTAAGAAAATAAAAACTTTATGGCCAGAAATGGTGACTTTAACCAGGTTGTTTGAAAAATAAAGACATACACAAAATTTAGGGTTACTCATAATATGGCCTTTTAAAGTCTGTCACATACAACCCTTCCTTGTGCTTCTGTACCCCAAGCATTTGATTCTCTAAAGACATTTCAATGAGCAATAGATAAACACACAATGTTTATGAGGAGAGGTCTCATAAACCCAGAGCAAATATTTACAGCCGATTCATAAACCTCTTAAGCCCATAAACATTTTATCAAGGAAACTCTGACAATCTCCCTCTACCATAAATGAACCAGTGGGAGGCATATCCCCATGATGTCATGAAAACCGACTCCAAAAAGCTACTAAGAAAATTTCACAATTTAAAAGAAAACAGGCAGGTTTAGTAGTGGTGATCCAGTTTTAGCAAACAGAAAGCTATTTGTGGGGCCAGAATATTCCATAATAAACATAAAAAGAATACCTTATTAAAAGCTGGCGTACAAGTGACTTTAGAATGAAAAATGAAATAAACCAGCAGCCTATCCATCTTTTTCTTAAGTAATAAAATGCTGGGTTTGTACCATTTTACACTGTGAAATGAGGCTGACTTTGCAAGACTGAATATGACTCAACAACAGGGCTGCCAACTGGCAGATTCGGTATGAACAAAAAATCTTACTGAGTGTGTGTTAGGTATTTTTTAAAATGTGCAGAGACAAGAGGAAGACATTAAATCTTTCTTAATTTAATTATGGATAATTCATACCATTTCAAGGTGTAGAAAATAACATAACTGTGAACAATGGAAATAACTCCAAAAGGGACCGAGGCCACCAGGCCCTCTGAGCTCACGACTGCTGGACTAAACCACAGCAGGGGACAGTCATAGGAACGCAAATGGCCCTGTGGCTGTCAAAACTAAACAAATGGCCACAGTTTTCCTAGGGGGTAAAAAAAGGAAAAATCATCTACCCAAGGGAAGTGGCAAACTACTCTGAAGAGGATTAGAAAAGCAGGGGAGAGAGGGGATAATACCGTTGCATCCTACAGAGCTAGGCCCCAGCATGAAAAATATGCTCTAAATATTTCTAAGAACACTGACTCCTTTACTCCTTCCCAAACAGAAGAGTCTGTGGTTCTCCAAGTAATACATTCCCAATGCCCTCAGAAAGAAAATGACTCAGGCCCATACTGCAGCTTCCTTCTTTCTACTCAGAGGCTTTCCCAGCCTAAATATGCAGCACCACTTTATCTACTGACTTCATCAGGAAATTATACTGAGCAGGCCTGCAAAAATAATATCCAGAAATCTATTTATCATGATGCTAGCATATTGTTTTGCTTGCTTTTATCACAGCCACTGAAGCTACCTAGAATCACAGCCATGGAATTCTTCATATGCCTTGGGACAGGCTATCCATGCTGTGTGCTGGGGTGACCCACAGCTTCCAGGCTCCTTGTCTACCTGGGCTTATGCCGGCCACATACCCATGGTCCCTGGGAAGAGGCAGGCATCATTTTACATTGTGCCTAATTACATTTACAGGAATTGGATGTCAGTTATTGATCTCTATTAGAATTTGAGATTTCTTTAAGAAAAAAGGCAAAATAAAAAATTTACTCTAGTGAGACTCAGAGTCCGTTCTTTTGGGCTAAAGTTTTCCTTATGGAGAGTCCACTGTCACAAGGAATCAAAGCAGCTGGAGGTGCCTTGTGGGGAGACCTAAATGACAAAGAGAACAACATCCTAGAGCAATGGGCTTAGGTTTCCTGTTCTTTGACCCCATATTATTCTCAGAGAAGAGCTGCAGTCATTGAAATGCAGTCACTGGCTAGGAAAACACTATAATGTGGCACGTAACAAAGAGGGGTAGGGACATGAGGAAAGGACAAGAAAGAAGTTGAGTTGTATCCTTGTCCCATTGGGCAGGGCGGGGCATGATTCTTGATGACTTATCCCTGTACTGAAAGGATTTTTTAAAATACCTAACACAGGGCCGGGGATTTACCTCAGTGGTGCTGCCACCTGCCTTGCAAGCGCAAGGTCCCAAGTTCGATCCCTGGTACCTAACAATAATAATAATAATATAATATAATAAAATGTCTAACACATGCTCAGTATGAGTTTGTTCATTGCAGGGGATCCTACCTCAACCCAAGGTTTCATAGCCTCAGGATACCTGAGATCAAGCCCTGCTTGCCACACACCACCTAGATGACTTGGCCTTGTTGTCCTGTTTCCTCATTAATAGAAGAGCCACTTTGAGTGCTGAAGGATTAGTGAGCAAACACATGTAAAGGACTCAAAAGTCTGCATGCCTGCCATATAGTTATACTTACACAACTAATGTCCTTCACTCATAAGCCAATTTAGAACCCACTGAAGAACATGAAATCTGTCTTCTCTTTTTTATGTCAGATCCATAAATCTCATCTGAAAGCTTCCTGGGAAAAGACCTTCAAGACTAAGACTGTACATCCTGAGCATGTCCCCATGAATCTCAGAACTACATCTTCACAAGGGATTCCAGAACTGAAAATATTTTACATATTAGTACATTGGAAAAAATAATAAATGGAGCTGAGCATGTAGCTCAGTGGTAGAGCACTAGCCTAACATGCAGGAGGCCCCAGGTTTAATCATCAGCACATCAACCAATTAATCAATCAATAATCTGAAGACCTATACTTTTCTTTTTTTTTCTTCTTGGTACCAGGGATCGAACTTGGGTCCTTGCACTTGCGAGGCAGGCGGTGGAACCACTGAGCTAAATCCCTGGCCCATGAAGATCTATACTTAACAATAACTCATTATTAGTAGTTTAAATGCTCAAAACTAGATTTGAATTTCTAGAATTAAATCAGCCTCTATGTTCTACAAAGTTATAGTTTAAGTCACCAAACAAGTATGTATGGAAATTCCAAAGAGAAGGGAGAGATTGGCCATACTGGGGCGGGGGCGGGGGGGGGGGGCAGATTCCTGGGCCAATATCTGAAAAATGTAAGGATAATTTGGAATTATTTAGAAGTATTACTTTTGCTAAAAATCTGAACATCCTGTAGGATGTGCTTTCAGCACAAAATCCCCCAGCAACTGAGGCCAATTTTGCTCTCAGACCTGCCATACATGGGTCATCCTCAAGGAAACATCAGAACAGATAGCTTCCTGACAACAGATTGTCATTAATGAGTTTCAGAATCTACTTAAGCTAGAAACAGTGAGACAGAGAGAAAGCAAGAGAGCTATTATACACAGGTGCAAGAAAATGAAAAGCCAATACATCATTGGCTTTTAAACAGTTTTGAAAACATCCCATTGAAAATGACAAGGTACTAGACATTGATGTGTGTGGGTGATATACTACAAAGACATGGTGAAAGCTCAGGAACCCCTAAAGTGGAAAAATTATCTCCCTCAGAAAATATAAGAAAGACAGTTTTTAAAAGGCATAACTATACTTCAACACAAGTAGGTTAGGATGAACCTTCAGTGTATGGATGGATGCCTCAGTTTCCACTGGGGGACAGTGACTCAGGTCCACTTAAAGAAGTTTTCTTACTCATACTTCATGCAAAAAAATGAAAGTGTGACAGAGCTTATCTTGAAACAGACACTAATTATCATTCATCCTATAATGACATTCACTTATTTCCAGATTTTTTTCAAAATAAAGATCTAATTTAAAAAACTTAACCAATTCAATGATATTAAACAACCCATAATTCTATCATTGACTAGTCTGATCAAAATGTGAGGAAGAACTTGGCAACTCCTTTAGGCAGCAGTTAAATCTCCCAGTCAGTTAGTGAGCATTTCTTTTCACATGAATTCACCGCAGCAAATGTCTATGAATCAGAGGACCTTACTTAATTTGCTGTTATGCATGAATAGTGCAATCTTTAAAAAAGATACTTTTCTAAAATAAACCCTTTATTATATAAGTATCTAGAAAAAAAGATCCACTTATAAATTTATTGGTTAAATATTACAATTCAACCAAAGGCTGTGGGAGTTTTGTTTGTTTTTGTTTTGTTTATCAGAGTAACTCTGAGGAGAACACTTTACCACAAATCCACATGACCTAAATTTCTTTCACATCATATGCTTTTTGGAAAGACATGCTCAATGGTCTGGAGAACATCTTGTGTCGCAGCATCTCCTACGGATTTGGGTAGACCTGGATCTCCTGTCTCTGTATGGGACATGGGAGAGAATTCTATTTCCCAGCCTGCCTTGCAACAGCAGGAATATGAGACTAACTTCTGGTCAAGGGATTCTCAGCAAAATTAGCATTTGTCTCTGTTGAGCTAGAGCACTGAACTGCTGGTTCAAAACTCTCCTGTCCCACTTGCCACCATCATGACCACCCTGGGCACCGTGCTGAAGTATGGTGTCACAGGATAGTGCACAGTGACTCCGTGGAACAGCGCATCAGGGACATCTGTGAAAGACAGTGTAATGAATCAGCAATGTTTCCTGGTACAAGCAACTTACATTTTGAAGTGATATATTGCCTCACTATTATTTAGTCTGCTCAGTCTAATAAAGTCATATTAATTTCAACCCAAAATTTGCATAAAATTAAAGCTGCTATAGTGTATCCCTAGAAACAGGACAGCAAATCCTGGGAAGAGGCAGTATGTGAGATCTCAAAATGTTGCTCCCATTGCTCCCTGAATGTTTCAGGAAAATATGGGCCAATAAACCAAAAGCCAGAAGGATGGAGCAAGCAAAGTCCTACCTGAATCAAGGTCTCCATTTCCATTAGCTGAGTCGATGTGCTTTTCCAAGGGAGAAGAGGAAGGGTCTTGCATACTGGAAACTGACAAACTGCTCTCCATGCCTGAAGACTAAGTGTCCTCTTCCCTTAATTCATCTTACAGGAAGAATTATCTAAAAGCAACCAAAGAAATCAAAGCACTTAAATTATATTAATCATATAACTTGATCCTAAGCTCTCCAAAAGTAACATAATCCTATCAGAACTGCTATTAACTCATTATAACATTTAGGATGCAATATAATGTTGATACTAGAAAATACTAGGAATGAAGAGTAATGAGTGTTTCTCTACTCAAGGTAGGCCACAAAGGTCATAACATCAAAACTATCACTTTTATACAGGTCATTCACACCTCTAATATGGATATATAATTTATTTCAATCCCTCATTCACTGTGGTGACCCTGAGCAAAATACTCAACTTAGTTAGAAGTTCTCATGTGTCACAAGTGATCTGGTACCAAAACCAGCTGAAATATCAATATTTGCAAATAATGTGATCTCTTGCAAATTAGAAATAGGGACACAACTTTCCATGTAATAGCACGGCCATTTCTCACTTACTTTCTTTTTTTTTTGTTACTTTAACATGTATTGATTAAAAAAAATAAAGAGGAAGAAAAGTTTTCAACGTCACTCATTTACTTTCTGACATCACTGGGGGGAAAGAAGTGAAACTCCAGCCAGTTCTCAGAAAATCTCACAATCTAACTCATTTAGGTCAGAGCCCAGGAGATATCAGAAGCAGTCATTTCTAAGGAGCAGCCATGCCCAGCTGAGGTGGCTAGATACAGTTATGTGATGTTGTTAAACCTTTCATTCATTCGATGTTGTTATTTCACACATAGAAGATGTTAAGTTGGCAAAAGGACAAGGGTAGGTGAAGAAAAGAAAGAATATAGTACATCTATACCTATCAATAGAATATTGCATGGCTTACATACTAGTAAAATGTCTTCTAAGAATACCACACCCTTCTTAAAAAGCACACACACACACACACACACGTGCACAGGCACAAACATAGACTTCTCTGGTACTATTTAGTTTACATTCATGAAAGACATTTTGAGGTTTTTGCAAAACTGAAGATTCATAAAAGAATGTTAATCATTTGTGCAATGGCAGGGAAAAGGCTGAAAACTGCTGCCAGAGGTAACCAGGAAGAGACACGAAATGCACCAGGTACCCAGCATTGGAATTTAGTTCAGCACATATTAAACTAGCTACCTGTTGCATATAAAGTGCATCAGACACTGTGGGGAGGATATAAAGCTACTTCTCAATCAAAATGCAAAGAAATAAAATACCTATTTTAGAAAAGGAATTATAAAAATACCTTGAGCTGGTTCATTAAATAGAAATCTAGGCATCTTGCTTCTACAAAGGTTAAGTTCAGGAAAAGCAAATGGAATGACAGTCAAGGATATAAAACCCATGTAAACAATCAGATAACTTTTCATTCACTTGACACCAAGCACAGGCTTACCATATTTTTGTGAAGCAAAAATGAAAGCATATAGTCTGAGGAACAAAAGTCAACAAATAACTTAGTTCAGACCTGTCCCAGAAGATGTGATACCTATGTTTGTTTTAAGATCACATAAAGGAACAAGAAGTAGTGACTCATGCCTGTGTCCCCTGGCACTCAGGAGGTTGAGCAAGAGGATCACAAGTTCAAGGCCAGTATGGACCATAGCAAGACCCTGTCTCAAAACCAACAACAACAACAACAAAAAATCATATAAAAGACAGGAAAATACATGCCCAAAGACACATTTAAACCCACCATAGCACTTTGCAGGGTGTAACAGAGAAAGCAATGTAAAACATTCTTAATCTCAACCCCATGGATCTTCGTATCTAAGGTAGTGTATTAAAAAATATAGTATAGACAAAAATTACCTGAACCTAAATCAACACTGGGTTTGCTTTCTTCTTAATCATCCAGAAGTGGAAGTTTTCTCATATCCCTCAAGGGTCATTGGATAAGCATAGTTTCTAAAAGCTTAGGCAGAAACACTACTAAAAAAGCTACTGAATGGACATATAGGTTCTGAGATTATATGAAATACAGAGTTGGCAAATCCAGCAATGTACCCTCAAGGCTGCCTCACTTTAGCCAGTGGACATCAGTTGGCCAAAATAACTCCTACAATAGTGGGCAGAACTGCACTGTCCTTAGAACATTTCTTCAAGATCTGTTACAACAGGGATGCAAAAACCTGTGGACCACAACCGACTCTTCGACAAAACTGAACCCACTCAAGAGACAGGCACAGAAAGCAAACCCAACCTAACACCAAACATCAGCAATCAGAACCACCATGAAGAATCCCAGGTGCTGCGCCTCAGCTCAGAAGCTCCCAGAGATTTCCTACCTGGAACTGCACACAGCAGACTGAACAGGGGACCGTGGGGGCAATGCTTGGGTTTTACGGTGTCAAGCAGTATGTGCCAGTTTATGGCTACTGCCACTGGCATTCAGGGAGTGATTATTGATACAAATGCAGGCAAATCACTTGTCCTCTGGATAAGCAGTCACCAGCTTAACAGTTCATGGGGTGGGGCGGGAGGCGGGATAGCTCAGAAGCACAGCACAAGGCCCTGAGTTCCATCCTCAGCACCCTAAAATAATAACAATAACAAATAAGTAACTCTGGACAGGCAAGTTCTGGTAATATGAAGTTTTTTGTTTTTTTGTTTGCTTGTTTGTTTTTGGTACTGGAGATCGAACTCAGGTCCTTGTGCTTGTAAGGCAGGCAACAGAACCACTGGGCTAAATCCCCAGCCCAATATGAAGTTTTATTGTGAACATGTTAACAGAGCTTCTGGTTTAGAGATGTAGACATTTCACAGGGTAATATATTTTTCAGAATGCCAATGGCTTGTGTAAAGCAGCAGTCTAGTCCCTGAGCCCAAGTCAGCCCAAGACAGCCCGAGCCCATTTCTCTAAATGAGCATGGATGGGTGAGGATGCACAGAAAAGGAACAGAAAATGAGAGCTCCTCAAGGGAAATGCCCAGAGGAGAAGATGATATGAGGAAACCAAGGGTCAAACAAGATCATAGGCTCAGGAGCCTCCAGAGGACTTGAGGGCAGTGGTACACATCTGTAATCCCAGCTAACCAGGAGGCTGAGTCGAGAGGATTCACAGTTCAAGGCCAGCCTAGGCAACTTAATGAGACCAGGAGACAAGCACTGAAAAAAGTAGAAAAGATATTAAACATGGATATCCAACAGCAAACAGTGTGGCAGAACCATGTGAAAAATTCCAAGGCAACTAACTCAGTGTAGAGGGTGGAAAACAGGATTGTGTGCGCCAGCACTATCATTCCTACCCATTCCCAAACACTTATTGATCTCCTATTAATGTTAGGCCCTGTTCTAGGCACCAGAAGACATGTGGGACAAAACAAAACTGTCCTAGTAGATATTACATCCTAATTGGGAGAGAGAGCTAATACATCTTTTTTAATTAGTAAGTTATATAGCCTGTTAGAAAGTGATCAGGGCTATATCCAAAAGAAATAGCTGGAAAGATCAGGGAAACAATGGGAAAGGATGATAATTATTTAAATGGTGGTCAGGCAAGACCTCAGGAAGTGATATTTGAGCAAAGACTTGGGGGTAAGAACGGGAAGCAGGATAAGCACAGGTGAGGAGGGAACAGTTTCCAAATGAAGGGCCAGAACTGCATGCAGTTCTGCAGGCAGGAGTGGCAGCTGCAGGATGCCATTCCAGGAAGTGGAATAACCAGCACTGTCACAGATAAATCACTCCTACTAGGGTAGCCACCCATGTGCAACATGGGTGGATATGGCAACCCCAAATGGAAGCCAACTGAAAACAAGAAGGCACAGACCAGGGTCAGAACTAGGACATGTAGAAGGAATGAAGGAGACAAGTTTAAGAAGCACCTGAAAGGTATCATCAACTGAATGCTGTAGAAATAATCCTAACAAAATGCAATCTTCATAGCACATAGTCACAGTTGTTAGAATATGTGATTCCACTTTCCACAGCCAGCTCTCAGCAACTAATGGAACATACAGAAATAGATAATTCTGGGGGAAACATATTAAGTATGAGAATAACATACCACTTCTCAAGTAATTTCTATTTCCTTGCTTTTCTGAAAAATCTGTTCACTTTAAATGGGGTCGGGGGATGCAAGTCTCACTGGTGACAATTGATCCACTAAGCTTTCCAAAATAAAAACAGGATGCTTTAGGATGAACATATAGCTCAGTGGTAGAGCCCTTTTGCAGCATGCATGAAGCCCTGGATTGGATCCTCAGCACCACAAAAAACAAATGAGACCACACAAAAATATAGAATTTTTTTTTTTTAAAAAGCACTTTCTTAACAATTTTAAATGGCTACTTTGAAAGGAAGCATATTTCTTTCTTTTTTTTTTCAGTGCCAGTGACTGAACCCAGGGCTTCATTCATGTTCTGCAAGTGCTCTACCACTGAGCTACCCTCCCAGCCCCCTTCTCTGATTCTTAAAATATATTGTATATAATTTCAAGTCTGAAGTACAGTCGTCTATTAAATGAAGCAAGATTTTTTTTTCCAGAGACATATGAAAGTTCAGAAGGTTAGGCTTTTATGGGGTAACTTCCTGTTTTGTACAATATGCTTTGTGATTTTGTGTAAATTTTACTATAATTGGCACTTCTTATCTCTAACCAATGACAGAATTATAGCAGTGGAACTTCTTACAAAAGTTGTCTTTGCCCAGTGAAAAAGCCATTAACTTGGTGAATAAGGAGTAATGAAGCCACTATCTAGTCGTGTGACATAAATTTTGCTTAACCTCTCTGTTCCTCAATTTATCAGTTAAATAAAGAGGCTTGCTTAGATGCAATCAAAAGTCCTTTTCAAATCTAAAGTGATACAAATTTACTACGTATTTTTAGTATTACTTGTATATTTTATCCTTCAGTTACCCATTTATGTGAACCAAATTTAATGCAATAACGACCATTCTCTTTCAACCGAATGATTCACTTTCTTTCACCTGGTGTGTATTTACAGAACATAATTTCATAAAAGGCCGGCAAAGCCTTGCTAAGTAAGAAATAAGTGAGGGAGAATACTCGTTTG